TTGAGTAGAGCAACCAAAGTCGAGGAGATTAGCCCTGAGACTACTGTAATAATCCAATCATGGAGTCATAAGGTTTTAGAGTACAGTGATGCAATAGTACAGTTTGCAAATTATGAATTGTGTACATTCTCCTACAAACTAGAGGCTTTTCAGTGTATAAAAAGAACTCGGAACCCATGGCCTCAAGGCCTCATGTGACCCTCCAGATCCCCAAGTGTGGCCCCTCAACTGAATCCAAACTTCACAGAACAAATTCCTGTTCTGTGAAGTTTGGATTCAGTCAAAAGGCCACACGCAGCCCCAAGGCCACAAGCCCTGTGAGTTGTTAGGCCAGGTATTGCGCCATACTTTTCTTTCCCTTAGCTATGGAGAATCTATTGGTAGGAATTACCTTTTTTCTGTCTTAACTTTATTAGCTTTACATTTAGCATTTGCCTTCTAGCTATGTGACCAAATGTTTTCGGGTACTCACCCTTCCTGTAGTTAGATTTAATGGTTATGTGGAGAAAGTCTAGGCTAATGAATGTTTGTTACAATAATTATAAAATCTATTTTAGGCCTGTAGAAATACTCTATCATGGCAACAACCTCATTTTCCATTTGTTGTTTGCCTTTATCAAGTGTAGGGAAAAAGAAATGATATCATAAAAGTAAAATATTCTTGGGTCCTATTTAACCATTACATTAACTATATTCTAATTTTGAATTTTGGACTCAGGATACTTTTGAATAATATATATGTACAGTAGATATCAAATGTAGGTTCCCAATGCTGATTGGAAACTGTAGATGCCTATGCGTATTCTTGGACTTGAAGTGCTTTTTATATGGGGAATCAATCAATGAGACTGTTGAAGCAACTTAAAAACTGATTTTTACTCTTTCAATTTTAGATATGTCAGGTTTTAAGAGATGTATCATATTACCTTTGATAAATAAGTGACTGTTTCCTGGATGCAGTTTTGTTTCCAAGAATAAGTCATAATTTTGAAAAAAACAATTGCCTTTCCAGAGTAAAAGCTATTATGTCTTAAGGCAATTGGTATAGTGCTACAATTCTAAATAAGTGAGCACTTTCCTCAAAATATGTCTGACTTGGATCAAGCTGGATTTGACTAACAAGCAAAGTAAAGATCTAATAGCCTTATCAGTTGATATGAAATTGTGAAGCCCGTTGGCTAAAGGGGAGAGCCCCTGACTCCCTCCAAACCTGAAATTTTCAAATCTGAGAGCCTGAGTCACAGCATTGGGAGTGACGCGTAGTGTCAACACGCAGGGAGGGATGTGTGTTGTGTGTGAACCTTTTCTCAGCCTTAGGAACCTAAAAATGTACCACAGGCAGTGGAGAATGGGAGGAGAAAGAATAAGACGGGGGATGAATAATGATGGAGAGAGACCGAACAAAAGTCAGGTGGGTGTTAAACATCTAAAAGAATCAAGGCTGGATCTCCCGCAACTATCTTCAACCAAACCCTGAGGCAGCAAAGCAAAATGTTGAGATTCAAAGTTGAGAAATGTAAAAGGAAATTCAGGAGGAAATAGCAGATGGGAGGAGAATTTTTTAACTGCAGTCAAAGGAATGAAAACAAAACGAAAGATTGACCAAAACAAAAATAGGAGAAATAAAATTTTCCTTTCAGTTCTGTTTTATATTAGAGTCTGACATAGTAACATGAGTATATGCTCTTTTTTCTTGTT